GAACTATGCAAAAAGTAGGATCCTTAATTCACATTCAACCTGATCGGTAAAAGTCACTAATTTCCCTGCACCAAAAATAAAATTATATTTCCAATAGATTATTACATTAAAAGTTTTCTTGTGAATACCTACATTAAAGTAAATTGGTGCTACAAAATGTTTTAAACAAAATAAGAGCGACATTTAACTGCAATGATTGTTGCCGTTCTGTGTAACGAGAATGGGCAAAATATATTTTCCCTTCAACCATTTCACCCTTTGTAAACCAAATCGAGCGTTTCTTCATATTGCGGCCCTCTTATCTTATTTGTTCAGTTTGTCATCACCGTGGGACTTTTCTATGCGTGTAATTTTTAAAATGTAAATAGACACTGTTAGAGCTATGCAAATATGTATTGGGGTTGTGGAGAGGGGCGGGTCATTTTGGACCGGCAAACCACCGATCTCGTTTCTATCAATGCCGGTCATCTTTCTCACTTCGATACGACTACGTAAAGGCGAGCATAAACCTTGACGGAAAACACATTAAAAATAAAACAATGAAACAATTAAATTACAATTACAAATAAATAGTTATAAATGAATAAATCTTTTCTGATTAAAAAAACGTATAATTTTATGTAATAAATGAATGATTTCAACTTCATGTAATTAAATTAAATAAATACTGAACTTCAAATAAAATAAACGATTGTGAACTTCAAATGAATAAATAAAAATAAAATCCGAATTCAAAATAAATAACATTAAAATGAACCCATTATATTTTGTGGTCCGATTTGGGTTCGAATCCCGCTCGTGCCATTGACTTTTTTATCTAAACTAAAAACTTAATTAATTGTAAGATATTAATTGGTCCAGCGGACCACGAAACTAGTGAATTAATAAGTTTAAAATGAAGTATACCTTCACTAAAGCTCTCCGAGGCCATTTCATTTGTCGCCGAGAATGTAATAAATTACACGACATTTGAAAAATGGCAAAAAGGAGGGAAAATTCAAAAGGTGGGTTTGAGATGGGAAGTTAGTGTCCGAGTGGATCGAGGTCACGATAGCTCAAGTGGTAGAGCAGCGGCGTATCTAGCCTAAGATCGTGGGTTCGAATCCCGCTCGTGACATTGACTTTTTTTATCTCATCGAAAAACTTTAATTAATTGTAAGTACTTTATTATATCATTAAAACTCCATCCTTGACACATACTTCCTATTATCCTAACCTATAAATAAAAAGGACCATGTAACAACAATATATTCATACCCATCTTTAATCCTTAAAGCGAAGGAGGACCTATGTACTGCTACTAGCATAGATACAAATAATCAAAATTATTGTAGCAATAAATAAAATAATAATAATAATTTTCGTAGTCAATTGACTATGTTATTTCTTTCAATCAATTAATTATTCTTTCTAAGGTCTTGGTTGTCCGAGAGGATCGCGTCACGATAGCTCAAGTGGTAGAGCAACGGCGTATTTAGCCGAAGGTCGTAGGTTCCAATCCCGCTCGTGACATTGACTTTTTTATCTCAACCAAAACCTTAATTAAAGAGTAATTAATTGAAGAGAATTTATTTGGTCAATCGGATCACGAAACCTAATAGATGTAATAAGCAAAATGAAGTATACTTCACTAAAGCTCTCCGTGGCCATTTCATTTGTCGCGAGAATCAAATAGATTACACGACATTTGAAAAATCCTAATTCTAATAGGAACAGTTCTAATTACAATAAGTGGTGTAATTTTGCCCGATAATGTATATATACGTTATGTAAGATTCAGGATTGAACTTTTTGTTAAAAAAGTAGTAATTTGTTTATGTGCTTGAGATACGGACATATCAAACAACACTGTAAAGGCAAACTACGATTCTCTAGTTGTCTAGAACATGAGAAAAATGATATGCGATACAAGTTCAACAAATCCTAACTATATACATTACCAAGGGTCCCATTCATTATTTTCACAAAACGAGTGTCCGGAGTTTAAAAAGCAAAAATTTATGAAGATACTTATGGCCTAAGACAATATTTCATATAATGATGCTGAAAGCCGCGTAAATTAAAAGTCTTACGCAAAGGCAGTAAATAATCCGGTAACAAAAAGTATAGAAATAATCCCTCCACTCACCCTAATAAAGGGTAACAAAAGTAGTATATAAAGAAAGTAAAAAACGTACACGTTCTCCGGAAATAGAAACTCAACAAGCTCAAAAGCAATTTTACAGCCCTATAATCCCAACTCTGAAAAATATTTCGGATGGATTAATCCGACATAACCCATATAGACAAGCAGATGTTGAACTCAAAGATAAATCTATGAATTTATATTTTCAATTATTAAAAGATTTATTGAAAGATAAATCGGTGGTATTGGATGCGACCTCAGAAATCGTACACACTATTGAATAGCATGTCCTAAAACTTCCTCTTTTTGGTAACAAATGACAGAGACAATCGCTGTTATGCAATGGAATGCAAGATCCCTCGTAGCAAACAAAAGTAATTTAGAAGCTTACATAGATAACAAAATGATTCATATATTCCAATATCAGAAACATGGTTTATACCAGAACGAACATACAATTTCAGAGAATAAAAAGTATTAAGAAATGATGGCGTAGATGGACTATCAGGAGTAGCCCAGCTTATCAAGAAAAATACATTCACCTATCTGAACATCACAAATTCCCAAGTAAATGTTATTATTATTGAGGCAAAGGTCATGACAAACAAGGGTGAGAAAATAAATGTTGTGTCTGGCGCAATCCATGACATGATAAAAGAAAACTATTTTGAAATATCCGAATGAAAGAATAGTACGGTAATTATACAATCCAAATTTAATGTACCGTTCATTCTAAACACCTTCATAAATATACATTATTTTATGACAAAATTCTAATTTTGTGTGTGGTGTTTAGTGACCGTTAGCCAATGATTATTTGGAGATCGTGAGATGCGGTCTGGTGTGACGTAGGTTTTAGAAAAACATTTTCTTTATCTTGCCAAGGTTTTTATCATTGTTGAGATCATCTTCAGGGCCTGGAATTTATAAACATTGTTTAAATTTTACAAATACATGTAGGAAGTGAAAAAAAAAGAATTTATACAATGCTAGAAAATTTATACAATGTTAGAATATTTTAGATTTAAAAAATTAGAATCTAGAAATAAATTAGATTTAGAATTCTTTCTTTTTTTTAAATCTAAAATATTAAAGCATTGTAAAAATTCATTTTTTCACATCCAACATGTATTTGTAAAATTTAAACTATGTTTATAATTCCCAGTCCCTGAAGATGATCTCAATAAAGATCGAAACGCTGGCACGATAAACAAAAAAATTTTCTACAACTGCGTCACACCAGACCGCACCTCGAGATCTCCAAATAATCAATCTAATTTTAGTTAATTATAAAATCCAAATTTAATGAACGCTTCATTCTAAACACCTTGATAATAATACATTATTTTATGACAAACTTCTAATTTTAGTTCATAAAAATATCCACTATTTTTTGGCTTATTTTTGATTAAATTTATCTTTAGTAAAATACTTTACAATTAAGGTTTTTTGTTGAGATGAAAAAAAGTTAATGGCACGAGAGAGATTCGAACCCACGACCTTCGGCTAGATACGCCGCTGCTCTACCACCTGAGCTATCGTGACCTCGATCCACTCGGACGACAACTCCCCATCTCAACCCCACCTTATGAGTTGAGATGGGGAGTTGATGTCCGAGTGGATCGAGGTCACGATAGCTCAGGTGGTAGAGCAGCGGCGTATCTAGCCGAAGGTCGTGGGTTCGAATCCCTCTCGTGCCATTAACTTTTTTTCATCTCAACAAAAAACCTTAATTAATTGTAAAGTATTAATTGGTCAAGCGGACCACGAAATTATTGACTTTAGTAAAATGTTAAATTAATTTAGTTTGGGATGGAAAGGCGAAATCAGTTATAAAAATATCAGAAATAAGGTTTTTTATGACTGATTTCTTTCCACCGTTCCTACTAAACCGTACTTATAACAAGTTATATGTTATTCAGTAAGAATATATTAATATGTTATAGGTTTGATTTTTTTCAACTTTTTCCACAATTCAAGTTTAACGTTGCCAAAGTGAAATCCTATATGCAAACGTCAATCTATCTACACTATTTACACTATTTGCAATTCTACATAACAGTAGAAAAAACGATCTAACGAACACAATAACCCACCAAAATGGGCATAGAAATATCTTACTACTCAACAGTAAGTTGTTGCAAAAAACAATGCATAAAATACGGTAAAAATGTTTGTACAGAGATTTTACCTGCTCCAAGTAATCAACACTAATAAATGACATAGATACATAAAAGTTTGTTTAAATAACTTTTCATGCACGAATGAAATTCATGATCGAATACGAATTTATTATACGAGTAGACGCGTTCTGGCACAACTGTAGTTGACAAACTATTATTAATTAAGCTCTCTGGTTATCTAAATTTGTGTTAATAGCCTTAGGGCGGGCAATTAGGCTGATCAATTTCCAATGTAGATTTCAATTCAACAGTTTGTCATTGGCAGCATGTGTTCAAGACGATACATATTATAGCTGTTCAGATGGGTCTTAACCAAAATTGTAACTTGGGTTTTTACGTGTAGTTCAGCCAAAAATTTTCCGGTGCATGTTAAAATAAAAGAAGGTTGAGTTAAAACACAAGTTATGTTTGTTTTTAAAGGTTTTAGTATAGGGGTGTCGGTGGCCGCAACGGTTTAGGCGTTGAAACGGGGTTCATCACTGTAAGGTAAAGGTCCCTGGTTCGAATCCAGCGGCCCTGCCATCGAATCTATCGTACTTATAAATGGGCTTTTTTAAAAAAACACCGGCACCCCGAGGGTTCAAATAACCTCGCAGTTAAAATACCCTCGTAAAAAAAGTTTCTTGTACCCAATTTTTTAAAAATATGTTACCAAAAATATAAAAAATTACTAAAATTGTTTAAAAACTTACCAGAGGTACCAATGGTTCCAAAAGATAAGTGACAATAGGTGTGGGGAGGGGGGTGAGTGGAGATAGCAACATCCCAAAGTGCAACATTCTTTAGGGGGGGCACAACTGAAACAAAGAAAAGCGCATAATTTGTGATTAAAATATATTTAAATTACAAATAGAAAATCTTTTGATACAACGCTCTAAAGTAAATTCATGTAGTTAAAAAGAAAAAACAACGTTAACGTAATTATCAAAATGCCCGTATGATGTAGGATGTTTTATTCGACTTCAAGAATTTGAATTTCCAATAAGGGAATGCGATCAATATGCCTGATTGTGTCAAATTTTGCCTGCAAATAGGACGTTCAGCTACGGTTCTGTGCATAGACGGGTACAAATACCCAGGAGAATGGGAGCTGCGGTTATGTATATTGCTGACGGTACCACGTTTCATATAAGATCACCACGTATGTGCTCTATACATCTGAGGGTTTAGCTTTCTGGAAGCCATAAAGTACACATTGGAACTAATGCCTAGTAATAAAACAATTAGCTTGCTCATTCTACTTTACTTTCCTTTTTCTAATAATACTAAAGTTTATGGGCGACAAACAGCTGAGGTCACACTTCTTTTTCTCTTCTTTCGCGCGTATTTTGTTTTAAACTGCAGCCATTTGAGCGTCTAGATCTTGTTACTGACTCTCTGATTTCAAATAAATACTACGTTGATATCCAATAATGCTAGTCTCTTGTTTGTACCTCAGGTTGTCCAATACAAATAGAAACAAAACATACAATACATTTATTACTCGATACTCCTCGGGGCGGGGTTATAAGCAACCCCTTCCTTTCAAGCTAATAAATTACTTTTACTCTCCCAACGTCATACACTCACCCCAGACTACTCGATATTCCTCGGGGCGGGGTTACAAGCAACCCCTTTCTTTCACGCTAATAAATTACTTTTACTCTCCAGACGTCACACACTCACCCCAGAGTACTCGATATTCCTCGGGGCGGGGTTAAACCACCCCTTCCTTTCATGCTACTAATTTACATTTGTTCCAATAAATTAACATAAAGTCAAACAGAAACACACAGAAAAAAATCCCTATAGCCCTGAGGTACCCGAACAGCGATCTGTGCCCACTGCCGCGCCCCTAAACTACGCACAGGTCCGATTATATGCCAAAATATTGTCTATATACATCATGCCTTTTACAGTTGATAAGGTGCTCGACCGTTATTCTATACTTGCATAACGGGCACTTACGCGGTCGCTTTCCGGCCAGAAGGTGGCCGTGCGTTATTCTTGTATGACCTATGCTTCGTTCCCGGCTATCCCTATGTGGGGGGAACCCATGCCAACACGATCTTCTTTTCAACTGAATCGATCCCTTTTAACTGTTTTTTTAATCTTGTTTATTAGGAGGTCCACGGAGGCTATTCTCCTTCCTCTAATTAATATCATTATATGGATCGTCCAACTCTAGTCAAGTTTGTTTGTAAAAAATTAAATTATTTGAAAACTTTCAAACATTGCACGAAACCTTTTTTTGGATAAAATATGTGTTAATTGCGCAGCAGTATCTAGCTAAAATGTAGTAATGAGTAAGTTCCGATTTTTTTTTGTTTCTAGTTGCACTATTTACCCTATTTCTATAAATGGCTGACAATCTTTTTCTTTGTCTGCTGTTAGTACGATTATTTGCCTGGACGTATTAGGTTTTCTTCAAGTTCCTGAACACAGGCCAACAAAGCGATTATATCCGCTTAAACGTAAAAAATGAAAAATCGATTTTAGTCCGGAATAGGGCTGGGTCCGGGCCAACAGGGAGTCGCAGGGGTGCCGGGAAAAGAAAATATTAATCTTGAAGGAAGTATGATATTGAAAAAAAGTTAAGTTATCCAGGAGATCGTGGCTGATGGTTAATAGGCGATCAGAGAGGGCGATTATCCGCCGACTGCTTCATACCCCCCCCCATTGGGTCTTATCTAGCCGAATGAACTTGATGAAGCACGGCTTGATGACGCTTACTTTATCACTCCTCCTTATAATATATCATTGAAACGGGCTGTGTTTGCATTACGGTTTTTATACCACTTTGTTAATCGAACCAGTGGAGTTGAAAATATTACATAATATTTTACGATTAAAAATCAATATATATTAAAAGAGATAAAAATTACATATACATATGTCGTAAGCTTTGAGATCCTAACGTAATCTGATTTTTATGATACTCAGTTGTGTTTCTGGGTTCTTTATTGCTATACATGTCGTTTACTTTTGAAAGGGGATTTTAGTTAATACAAATATTATTGAAATAGCTGTACTGCTCCAAATCGCAAAATGATAATCCATAATTCACTAGTTTTCGTGGTCCGCTTGACCAATTAATATCTTTCAGTAAATTAAGGTTTTTACTAGATATAAAAAAGTCGGTGTCACGAGCGAGATTCGAGCACACGACCTTCGGCTAAATACGCCGTTGCTCTACCACTTGAGCTATTGTGACTTCGATCCACTCGGACACTAACTTTCTATCTCAAACCCACCTTTTGAATTTTCTCTCCTTCTTGCTATTTTTCAAATGTCGTGTAATCGATTTGATTCTCGGCGACAAATGAAATGGCCACGGAGAGCTTTAGTGAAGATATACTTCATTTAACTTATTAAATTCACTAGTTTTCGTGATCCGCTTGACAAATTAATAACTTTCAAATAATTAAGGTTTTTAGTTGAGATAAAAACCTTAATTAATTATTATATGCGTATCCAGCCGAAGGTGGTCGGTTCGAATACCGCCCGTGACACTTACTTTTTTATCTCAACTAAAAATCTTTATTAATTGAAAGATAATCCATAAGTTTAACTTGAAATCCCAAACCATAAGATCACAAAAAAAAAAAAATGTAATAAACATTCAGCAATCAACAAGGTCACAAAACACTAGAGCAAAACCAGTTAATTACATTACATTCAACTTTCATTTCAAATTAAATACTTGTTCTCGAGATTATATGTATGTGTATATGTACATATATATATATATATATATATATATATANCCATGGACAATATGAACTTTTTTGTTCATTTTAGGGTGAAGAATCTACTGGAGAAGTTTGTAGCACGAGTAGCAATTCACCCTGTATATGTATATATACATAACATGTTAGTATCTTATTGAAACTTTATTGTTCAGGAATGGCTTTTCTAACTACCATAACTTGCTTTGGATTATTTTTGAAGAAGAATTTTACTGGAGCTTGTAAATATAGCAATTAGGAGTTTTACTCTCTCTCCGTTGAATAGGATTCCTGTTTCCCCACCTTTTTTAGTAGTAGTTTTCAAGACACTTGCCAAGCATACTTAGTATATTCGCTCGATAGTAGACAGAGATTCCATTTTTTTTAAATGCCATTTATTCTACAAAAGAGATTTGGGCCTATGTGTTTTTCAGAGGCTTCCTTTTGGGCAAAGGTATCGTTCATTAACTCAGTTCAATAAATATTCATATAAACAAACTGTGTTAAGGATTCCGTGCACATATCTTATTTTTGTTAAAGACAGCTGACCGGGAATTGTTATCTAAAGAACCAGTACATTAGGTCGTTTTGCATGTTCTTTGGGTAGGAAAGCTAATCTGCCTTACCATCAACCTTGACGCCACAACCAGATGACGAAACAAGACGGTTAATAAACAAAACCCAAATCGGGACTCCTTAGCATTATCAATTAGGGTTCTCTTGAATCACAACAAAAGGTATGATTTGGGAGAAGTCCTTCGAAAACAGGGAATCTAAAGGCACGATAAGCCGAAGTGGCTGCAATGTCAGAGCATTCAAACATCCCATTTCAAACTAAATCAATCCCTATTGTAAAAGATACAAATAGATTATTATTGTTAAAGTTAATTTAACACTAACTCGTTTGTTGCTTTTAACCCTTTTTGTATTGCAATATTTTATTAACATTAAAAAAACATTGGTCTTCCTTGCATTTAATCAGATAAGAATATTTCATCTTGTAATGTCGTGCTGGATTATCTTATTATTAAATCGATTAGAGTTCGTAATCTGATTGACCAAATAAACTTCTTTCAATTAATTACACGTTATGTAAGGTATTGGTTGAGATAAAAAAGTCAGTGTCATGTTCTCTTCTTACATAATGTATATATACGTTATCGGGCAAAATTAGACCGCTTATTGTAATTAGAACTGTTCCTATTAGAATGAGAATTTTTCAAATTTCGTGTAATCTATTTGATGATTGGCCAAAGAGAGCTTTAGTGAAGTATACTTCATTTTGCTATTAGGTTCATATATTATATATGAAGTCACTGTCACGAGCGGGATTCGACCCCACAACCTTCGGCTGGGACGGACGTCGCTGTTCGACAACTTGAGCTGTCGTGACTTCGATCTACTCGGACACCAACTTCTCAATTCAATCAAACTTTCGAATTTTCCGTCCTTTTTGCCATTTCTCAAATGTCGTGTAATCTATTCGATTCTCGGCGCCAAATGAAATTTTTATCTCAACCAATACCTTACATTGGTAGATTAAGTAATTGAAAGAAGTTATTTGGTCAATGAGACCAAGAAATCTAATAGATTTAATAAAATGAAGTATTTCTTCACAAAAGCTCTCCATGGCCGTTTCATTTGTCAACGAGAATCGAATCCTGACCAAACGACATTTAAAAAATGGCAAAAAGGAGGGAAAATTCAAATGGTGGGGTTGAGATGGGAAGTTAGTGTCCGAGTGGATCGAATTCACGATACTCAAGAGTTAGAGCAGCGGCGTATTTAGCCAAAAGTCGTGGGTTCGAATCCCGCTCGTGACACTGATTTTTTACATCAACCAATACCATACATAAAGTTTAATTAATTGAAAGAAATTATTATTAAAATTTCCAAAAGTTAGATATTGCCACTATCACACAATTGGGAATTTCCTACCAATCTATCGGGCCTATAGCCATTCATTTAAAATTATATAATATTTCATTTTACAACTAATTAATCATTTTTTGTTCTATAAACAATAATGAATTAAAATTAAACAAACAAACTCATGCAATAGTAATAATAATATAAAAGCAATAATATAA